CTAAATTTCCACCACTTCTCAATTACAGGCCCATTGGGGCACTTTTGTACTAAGGCTCTGTCTTTAGGTCAGCAGAAAATATATGTACGTCTGTGTGTGTGTTCTTTAAAAATTGTCTTCTTTTGAACTGAATTTCTAGTCATCACAGCTGAAAAGAGAATATTACAAACAATACTTACAACATAGGTGTGAAAGACTGAAGTCTTTCCCTCTTTCCTAAAAATGATGAATGACCAGCTGAGAAGAAATAATGCTAATAACCCCATATTCCATTTCTAGAGCATCTTTAACTGTAGGATTCAACACCTTCTTGCAGAGAGCTGCCATTTTATCTAAACTGGTGCAAACCCATATTAGTACAGGGGATTCTGGGGAAATGGAATCATCTTGGGAAACAGAGTTGCTAGAGCATCAGCATTCCTTCTCTCTCCGTTACTGAGTGTGAATGTGTGTGGCGTGGATGTTACAGCTGTCTCCTACCCTGCTTCCCATATCTGTAATAGTGATAAATTGCTTAAACTGCCTTATGCCCTCATTTTACTAAAGGGAGAATTATCCCTTATTTGACAGTTATTGTCACTGAACTGTCAGGAAGTAGTGAGTGGACCTTTCTTAATGGAGGCCAGGTGTTTGGGGCCTGTGGGTATTAAATCATTTAACCATAATTGGATTTTTCTCATTAATACAGTGCAGGTAGACAGCACTTAAATTCTCATCACCCAAAAAAGCCCATGTTAGTTTGTGTTTTAAAGTGAATATCCACGACTATCAGAAAGGGGGCAATGACCTGGCTTTAGTAATGTAAGCTTGCTTAAGTAAATGGGCATTGCTCTGTTCCCAAACTTTTCTGCTTCATTGGTGGAACAAACTTCTAAGAATGAAAGAAAAGAAAAATAAATAGCAAAAATAGAGAGTGCAGTCACTCTTAGACTTATGTAGTACAGTGATTTCTCAAAGTAAAACCTGAATCACCTGCATCAGAATCAACTGGTAGGTTTGTTAAAAATGCTGATTCCCGAGGATTTCTGGAATTTGGGGTAATAGATTCTAGGAATCTGCAATCTTAATGATACATGCCTATGATTCTTGTGCATTCTAAGCTTTAAGAATGTTCTAAGTATTGTTTCATTTTTTTTTATGGCTGTATCATGTATTTATTTATGAAAAAAATTCTACTTTTTTCCTTGCTTAATGTGCCCTTTTTTTTTTTTTTTTTTTAACTTTTTAGGTAACTGCTAGAGAAATATCATTAAAGCAAGGCATTTACTTAGGGTTGATCTAATCCAATATTATTTTTACTAGAGGAAAAAGATTATCATAAAGATATATCTACATTTTACTTCTAATTCTCTTGACTATTATTCTATGTTTAGAGAAAGAATGAGTACTCAATAATTGCTTAATTAATGAATTAAATTTAATGCAGTGACTTTCAATATGCAACATTTCAGAAGCACCATTGATCATAAAGTAAATCCTATCCTTATATTTTACAGAATGCAAGTGCTAATAAAATGAAAATCTAGGTCAGGGGTGGTGGCTCACACCTGCAATCCCAGAACTTTGGGAGGCAAGGTGAGCAGATCACTTGAGGTCAGGAGTTCGAGACCAGACTGGCCAACATGTTAAAATGCCATCTCTACTAAAAATAAAAAAATTTTAAAAATTAGCCAGGTGTGGTGGCACATGCCTGTAGTCCCAGCTACTCAGAGGCTGAGGCAGGATGATCGCTTGAACCCAGGAGGCAGAGGTTGCAGTGAGCTGAGATTGTGCCACTGCACTCCAGCCTGGGTGACAGAGCAAGACTCCATCTGTCTCAATAAATAAATAAATAAATAAATAAATGAAGTAAAATTAAAATCTAAGAATTTATAAAATCTCTAAAGGATAAAGATGATAAGAATTCAGTGCAATTGAAAGTGCTCTGAAGATCAATAAAGTCACTAATGACTATTATTTTTAATAATTCTATAAACATTCAATGAACACTGTCAACAACAAAAAAGGTATTGCAAAGATTCATTAAGTTGCTTAGCTAGAGATATAGGGATAGGTATTTCTGCATCAGAGACTGAGACCCTTGAGGAATCTGTCAAGCAAAACAGAAGATCCCAAATAAGCATTTTTTTGGAAAAAAATAATGTGAGATCACATCAAAGACTTAAGTCTAAATTACATTTAAAAGGTTTCACTGAGTAAAGTTTGCAAAGATTAGTACACAGAGAAATAAGTGATAGGATATTTAAGCAAGACAAAAATAAGAGCAAATATCAGGTGTGAAGAGCCATGGCCTGTCTGGAGAAGAGAGAGGCCTACAGTGTAAAGCCATAGAGACAGGAATAATCATGTATCAAAGTGCTTTCGGCTGCAGAAATTGTACTCGCTCTCTCTATATATATATAAAAAACATATATACATACATACTATATATATTACTATATATGCAAAAAACTAAAGATGATTTAAACAAAAAGATAATTTATTATCTATCACATTAAGTTTTTCAGACATGGGGTAATATCAAGATTTTCTCAGCAATGCAAAGACAACACAGATCCAGGCTCTTTTTATTTTATGCTCTGCTCTCACTAGCATATTAGCTATTTCTCCATAATTAATTTTATAAATAGTCCCCAAATGCTGTTTAGAACTGTTGAAGTTCTAAATTTTATATCCCGACAGAAACTTCTATATCTTGAAAAGGGATTTTTAGCTTCTCTCTATCTTTGCAATTAAGATAAAATTTTTTAATTACTCAACATGGAATCACATGTACATCTGCAAAATGATTCCTGGTAAAACAGAATGGAATTACAATGAAGGGAATTGTTTTTAAGCTGGACTATTCAAGACTCATCTCATTTAGAGACGTAGCCTCCTCTGAGGCACAGTGTCACCGGATATGTGAACTAAGTTGGGGTTCTGAGTCCAGTAGTTTTGTGTTAAGACGACAGTATCTTCCATATTTATGCTAGAAACTGATATATATTTCTATATTATTGAGTCACTAAAATGTAATAACCTCATAACAACACATTAGGATAGGTTTAACAGTGTAAATAGCAATTATTAACCAAGGTTTTGCCCATATTCAACTTACATATTTAGATTCAATCATTTTTACACTCGTCTGTCATAATTACCAGCCCCACTCATAGGTATAAGCAATGTTGAATAGGCAAAAAATTAGGGAAAATGTCAAATGTCTGTTTTTAATTGTGTTGTTCATTTTCATTTTCTGTATTTTTATTTTAAATTTTTGCTTTTAAATAACTGCATCCAAGAAAGATTTGCAAGGCCCATTACATGAGGAACGCAGAAATCATTTAAAAATATATATTAATTCTGCAAAATGTGCAGTGTGTGTGTGTCTTTATGCACCCCAGAGAAAAAGAGAGACAGACAGAGAGACACAGAGAGAAAGAAAGACAGATCACAGCTCTAGACATGGAAGGCTAAACTATGCACATTTCATTGATTGAGCCTGAGCTGGGAGATTTGAATCAAATTTTTTTCATTGAGTTTAACTTCTTATGTGACTCTTAAGAATACACTTACACTAAGTTGAGGGTGTAAACACACTCTCTCTGTCTTCCTCTCTCTCTCTCTCACACACACTCACACAGTTTTGTTTTTTCTTCTTCCACATTTCCCCTTCCCTTTCTCTTCTCTTTCCCCTTGCCTTTTCCCCTCATTTTTCTTTCCCTCTCTTCCCCCTCCTCTTGCTTTTGCAGCAATCTAATGCAGTTTCAAACTAAATTTTTTACTCAATGTGATTTCCAGAACAAAAATCACAAGCACAAATGCACAAGACAACTGAACAACCACAAAACAGTTTCAATGAACGAAACAGCACTGATGTATTGAACCTATCTAGAAACAATTTCATCATTCTTTAAAATGGCACTAAAATACAAAAGTGATGTAAGGTCTTCTTAAGAATAAGAGATTTATCTTGTAAATTATAGTCCCTTAACTTGTGAATTCATTTAACGCAGGGCTGCTTATATCAGAGCACTAGTGTTGTCCTGTGACCTCTGTGCTACCAGGAAAAAACTCAATCCTAGACAGAGCAGAAAACTTGACTAATGAGCAGAAGTTGTGGAACCTGAAAGAAAAAATTGATGTATAACCTGGATTTTTTTTTTTTTTCCACAATAACGAACTGATTCAAGTTTGTGCAGTCATGCTCTGCATAATGACATTTTGGTCAATGACATACCACATAGCAAATGGTGGTCTCATAAAATTATAATGTTGTATTCCTACTGTACCTTTTCTATGTTTAGATTACATTTATACAGAAAATAGTGACCTCTGTGTTACAGTTACCTATAGCATTCAATACAGTGACATGCTATACAGGTTTGTAGCCTAGGAGCCATAGGCTATATCACCTACCCTAGTAAGTAGTAGACTATCTATTTTAGATTTGTGAAACTACACTCTATAAAGTTCACGCAATGACAAAAATCACCTAACAACACATTTCTCAGAATGTACCTCATCATTAAGTGACTCGTAACTGTGTGTGTGTGTTTTTTTTTTTATTTAATGCCTGATAATACTTAAAATACAGAATGGATATCAATGTTGACAATTGATACTATGTAGAAATAACAGATTTCAGTGTTTGAATATTTTGATGATAAAAAACACAGTGAAAAGATAATATGGTAACAGAGAAGTTTTTCAGATACCTGGACTTTGATTTAGAACTATTCCAAGACTGTTGATGAATAATACTAATAATATATTAAAAACTATGATAAGAAACAAATTTTCTGGTTATTATTACCAAAGGACTCTGAGGAAACCTATTGATCAAAATTAAATGTTTGGAAATATGATAACAATATTGACTCTGAAGCTTATAGTCATTCTGTTTTCAGAGGATAAGCATGCCATCCGTAATTTCCAAGAGGATTAAACTAAAATATTGAGTTATTAATTTATCTTACATTCAAATAATCTGAGGTCTGTATTTTTAATATTTACAGACATCGAATGACACCTTTGAAATTCCTCTAATGTTGACTGGAAATGTAGTGTTAAGGAAGAGACTCAACTATGAAGATAAGACTCGCTACTTTGTCATCATCCAAGCTAATGTGAGTATTGAATTTCTTTTAAATTTCTTCTGTAAATTAATGAAGTAAAAAACTCATCCAAAATGTGTCAGATAGTCTTGGAGTGCTCTGTGTCATTCGCTTCTTCATCAGGGCACTCCTGCCTTTGGTGTTTATATGTAATATTCTTATAGATGGGGAAAGGGATAGAATAGGTTGTTTTTATTCACTGTATTATTTGAACTCTAAATTATTCATATGTATTAACCATGATCCAATAATTTTTGGCCTATACTGAAGTATTTTTTCAAAGTAGGATCCAGCAAATAACTGCAGCAGAATCACATTGGGTATGTATTAAACATACTTATTTCTGGACCCTACCTCAGATGTTCTGAATGAAAATCTCAGACGATGGAAATGGAATATCTGCGTTTTTAGTTAGCTCTTCAGGGGATTCTAAGGTACACTAAAGGTAAAGAATCATTGCCTAATTGGTCATGTTCTTCCTCGTGGCTAACATTTATTGAGTAATTGTTCACTAGATATCAGCTAATATCCCCATAACTGAAATTTATGCTAATGTATATAGATAACAATAACAGAACATCCAAACATATGCTTATAAAACAGAGACATGCTTTATATACTTATACAACATAGATATCCTTATATGCTTATAAAACATAGACATTTATTGTAGTTATTATTAGTGGAAGTGTAATAAAATTTCTGGAATTATGTGACTCAGTGTTTGACTTGACAGTTCAATTATATCACCAGGGACTTAGATTCCTTCTATCCTTATACTTCTCTCTTCTCTGAAATGTGGTTATTTTCCCAATGCCTTATCAGCTGGGAGCTAGTTGTATACCATGGCCATTAAGAGTCACAACTGCATTTCAAGTTTGAATGCAGCAGACAGAAAGGTTAGCAAAACTAGATTTTCTTTTATGTTTATTGATCCTTTCTTCTTTTATCTGGGAAGATACTCTCTTCAGAGTTCTCTCCCACCCATCTCCTTCTAGACTTGTATCACCTGAGTCAGCATTATAGGAAGGAAAGTTGAGGAAGTCCATATGTGTCAAAGGGGAATGCGGTATTCACTTCTGAATTATACTATGTATAGTTCATATCCTGAGACTGTACACACAGATGACCTGAAAACATTTTTCTTTTCTTAGTAAGAAGAATGGGAGTACCATTTGAGAAAAAAGCTAGAAGGGAAGGTCATAGAAAAAGACCCATATTAAGTGACAAGCTTACGTTTTTGAAATAACAGTTAAGAAATGAGCTATAAAGATATAAAAAGTATGGAGAAATATTGAATGCATATTTATAAGCAAAATAAACCATTAAGAAAAGGCTGCATACTGGATGATTCCAATATATAATATTCTGGTAAAAACAAAGCTAGGGAAATGGTGTAAAGATCAGTGGATGTCAGGGATATGGTGGTAAAGGCAGGTAGAAAGGGATTAATAGAAGGATCACAAAATATTTTTATGTCAGTAAAAATACTCTGGATGATACCACAAAGTTGGATAGATATCATTATACATTTGTCCATCCCCATAGAATGTACAGCACCAAGAGTGATCTTTAAAGTAAAGGATGAACTTCAGTGATTATTATCATTCAATGTAGATTCATCAATTGTAGCCAATGTACAACTTTGATTAGGGCTGTTGCTAAGTGGGGAGGATGTGCATGTGTGGAGATATTGGTGTATATACCTTCCTCTCAATTTTTCTGTAACCCTAAAACTATTCTAGAAAATAATAGCCTTTTCTTTTTTAAAACATCTAGACTCTGAAACCGTCCTGTGCCTTTAATGACTCCTCAGCATTGTAATCTTGCTCATACAGCAGAACAGAGAGATAGCAGGGGAGGCTAAAAGGAAAATAACCTTAATTATCTGTTCTGAAGAAGCTAATATGAAAAAATGTGTCATGAACTTGTCATTTTCTTGCCTTTCTTAGAGATATATCACCTGACACAGAATGTGTATGTCTATAGATAGATACCTAAATAAATATATATTTAGGGGTATTTAGCTAGAAATATGTAGATAGACATGTAGATCTAATTTTTGAAGCTAAGTTTATAAGCTTTTATTTACATTTCTGCAGATTTTTAAAATAATTTATTATTGTATATATTATAATTATATATTATATGTTATATGTATTATGTGTGTGTCTGTATGTGTGTATATATATTTTAATGTCATGTGACATAGACCAGAGTGAAAACTGTGGATATGGAAAAAAGCAAAATGTATTAGGGAGGGCCACTCAGACTTCCTCAAAAACACAGAAAATTCCTTTTTCTGTTTAATTGAAGATGTGAAGAAAAGGGAAAATATCTTTTTTATAAAGTCATATTGCTATGGAAGCTATTTGTAAGCTGGCTTTTTAAATTATGCAATTAAAAATAGGTAATTTTTTAATAGAAATGCAAAGTGAAATATTCTGAATTGGTATCTAGTTTTAAAATATTTGTAAAGACATCTGGAACAATTTCTATCCAGCATGATGGACTACTCATCACTGAGGGAGTGACGAGTTTTTAGCACTTCAGGGATAAAATTATAAAACAGAAGTACATATGTGAATCATCAAAAGGAAGGAATAGCATTAGGAAGAGTTGAATGAACATTTGAATTTAAATGCAATAACAGTTTTTGTTATAAACTTAAGTCATACAGTACAAAACAAAATGTTAAATATAGAAGGTTATAACATTTTAAGTGTTTTTAAAAGTTTTAAGAACAAATAATTTTAATAGCTACATGATATAAGATAATAATAATGGATTACCATTGATTTAACTATACTCTGTTTTTGTTTGTTTGTTCATTTGTTTTTGGCACCAAATTGATATTTACCCTCATGATGCTCATGAGAGGCAGTGAGTGTAGTGAATTATGTCACCCGAGTTCAAATCTCAGTTCAGTCATTTACTAGCTGTGTGATTCATAGCATATTTTGTATGTTAATTTCCTAACCAGTAAAATGGGTATATTAATAAAACATACCACATTGTTCTGGTTACAATTATCAAGTTAGCAAACAAAAAAGTACTTAGACTAATGCTTGAAATATATTGAGACATTATTACAGTATTATATAAATCACTAAAATAACTGTACTTTACTGTTTAAAAATCAGTAATTAAAAATGGAATTGCTATGAGAAAATTATATGTATTATATATATGTGTATATGTATTTGTACATATATATATTCACATACTTTTTAATCTTAGTAGATAATGCTATATTATTTTTCAAAGTGCTGTGACACATCACATTTCCACAAATGATAAAGAAGGATGCTCATTTCTACTACATTTTAAATCTTTAACTTAAAATCGTGGGTTGTTGGAGATGGAAAGTCAGCTGAGACTTGCTTGAAGGCCAATTGTGGGTTTCTCTTCCAAGCTCTGAGTTCAGTGATCTCACATTTGCGGCCATGGTGGGAGCATTTACAGTATGAAAAGTGCCAGTGCTACAAATCAGGGCTGCTTATCTGATAGCTGGTTGTTAATCATTAACTGTTTTGTATATACCAATAGTAACATAAGTCTAACATATCTTTGTGTATGATAATGATATCCATATATTTAAAATGTCTCTCCATTTTTTTAACATTTATCTTGTTTGTTTATTTATTTATTTATTTTGAGACAGAGTCTTGCTCTGTCACCCAGGCTGAAGTACAGTGGTACGATCTCAGTTCACTGCAACCTCTGCCTCTGGGATTTAAGTGATTCTCATGCCTCAGCCTCCCAACTAGCTGGGATCACAAGCATACCACCACACCTGGATAATTTTGAGGGGTGGGGAGGAGAGTATTGCTATGTCAGCCAGGCTAGAGTGCACTGGCATGATCTTGGCTTACTGCAACCTCAGCCTCCCATGTTCAACCTCGTGCCTCAGCCTCCTGAGTAGCTGTGATTACAGATGCATGCCACCACACCCAGCTAATTTTTGGATGTTTAGTAGAGACAGGGTTTCAGCATGTTGGTCAGGCTGGTCTCAAACTCATGGCCTCAAGCAGTTCACCCGTCTCAGCCTCCCAAACTGTTGGGATTACAGGCGTGAGCCACTGCACCTGGCAGCAATTTTTTATATTGTATTGGTGGTATGCACAATGTAAGCCGTGTACATTAAACACCAATATATTATCTTGAAGTCATAAGGAGAGTTCAAATATGAGCAATCAATTTTGACTTTAAATTGTATGGCCTCTAAAAGAATAATTACAGGTATCATGACAAATTATTGAACATTACTCAGCTTTGACCTGGTTTTGCTTATGGTAAAAATATTTGATTTCCGAAGAGGATCCTTCAAATTACATGTAGTTTGGAGGTTTCTTTTTATCCGCATTTACATATTATGATTCGTAATTAAGGTAATTGAGTTTTGACTGACCCATGTTAGAAAACCCTGTCACATCTTTTTTGAGAATATTTGCAATATCGTCACCCATGCTATTGACTTCAAATATATATATATAATGAAGTAAAGATTAATTCCAGACAAAAATTTTGGGGGGTAGATCTAGAAAAAAAATAGATAGATGAAAGATCAATGGGTTTTCTTTTTGTTGAAATTTACTACATATTACTATAAACCTCAACTTTGATATGTTACCCTAATTCACATAGAATCAAAATAATCTCTTTACATATCATTTTTCTTCAAAGCAAACTCTCTTTCATATTATTGTTATAATGAGTTAAATATTAAGAACACTTTGGTAATCAAAATTTCTTAATTACCACAAAGAAAATGTTTATATTTAATTAATTATTTTATAATTTATTTATTTATTTTGAGATGGGGTTTTGCTCTGTCACCCAGGCTAGAGGGCAGTGGGGCGATCTTGGCTCACTGCAACCTTTGCCTCCCGTGTTCTTGATTCTCCTAACTCAGCCTCCCGAGTAGTTGGGATTACAGGCACGTGCCACCACGTCCAGCTAATTTTTTTGTATTTTTAGTAGAAATGGGGTTTCACTCTGCTGGCCAGGGT